ACATACACATAGCACAGCTGTGTCTACAAAGCCAAAGCCTAAGGCAAAGCCTGTCCTTTGGACAAGAGTTTATTAACCAGTTCTGGAAGCCCATTGAGGTTTCTCAAGATTATCAGTGTGTCTGGTCAGGAGTCAGATTAAGACTCAGAAGTGGAAGATGAACTGTTTCTCTTCTTGAAGCCAGATGGCAGTCCTTCCAGAAGAACTGTTTACAACAGCAATTTACTTCTACACATAAAGACCACTCTTATGGCATGCCTCCAGGTTGCCAGATATTATGGTATGATTTTGTTTTTCACAAGTTTCAATTAACTTATATGAAGATCTCTTATTTCTTCTGCTTTTTCATTGTAGTTCTCACTTTTTCTGACTGTGAAGAACAACTTCCAAACAACACAAAAATAACAAAACCAAACCAAAATGCCTTAATGGAATTCTTGTAGAACTTCACTACTTTTTTAGCAGCCTAAATTCTAGTTGACCTTATTCCATGGCTTTTGGGGAAAAGCCATGAAAGAGAGGGGAGGATGTTGCAAAGTGTAGTAGTGTTGGCATGCTCCTGTTCAAGTCAGAGGCTGCTGACTTGGAATTGTTTTGGGTTTTAAAATTTTATTTATTTAATTGAACTCAAAGAGGAGACTGGCCAATGACCATTATCCAGGTTACTCACCCAGTTACTAGGAATTCTGAAACTTACCACCCTTCAATTTGTTTTCAGAATGATGTAGTAAGACAACATTTTAGTACTTTAAGCGCAACTGTCTAGTGGAACCACCCTCTGTGAAGAAGCTGGGCTTTTGTTTAGCTATTAAAGCAAAGACAAACCAACCCGCCCAGGAAAATGACATTACACCAAAACCCAAACCAAACCTTATGCGTTTTATCCTCATTTTCTATTCTGGTTTGGGTTTGACTGTGAAATTCCCTTTGGAAGTACTGCTCATTTACTTGTGTTTCAAAGAAAATCTCAGGTTTTAAAATATATTTAGAAATCACAGTACCCAAAAAGGTTAACATATTTTCTTTGGGATGGCTTTTATTTTTTTTTGCTACAGTATTTAATTACAAGCTTGGGTGATGGTTTCAAACACAATAATTTACTCCTTTTGCTAAAGGAAGCTTAAGTTAAATTTGTTACAAATAGTTATTAGTCCTTCCAAATGGTCTTGGTTTTGAATTACAGTACAAAGTAGGCAAACGTTTTCTTAGGAGGGTAACATCCCTTTAGGCTATTGAGAGGAACAATACCCAGTCAAAGAAGAATCTGGACTTCCAATCTACTCTGCTTACTCAGTAGTTCAAGCTTTCCCTTTACACCCTAAAACTCTAAACAAGAGTTTCCCTTTTTGTTATACTACTTCCTACTGCTTCTCACCAGGGCTATGCATTTTTCAAGTATGAAAGCAAAGATATAGGAAACATTTTAAAATACAGGCTTTGTTTAGATTACAAACTTCTGCTGGCATATCTGGGCCATGGGCTATCTGCTTCCTTACTGACATGATTTAGAAAACAAACCTGTAGTACAGAGTGGCTAGGCTACAGCAACGGTGCTTTTCTTGATGTAGTCTGTGCTTTTTGGGGTGTGGGTACTAATTACATAATCAGAAAGCTTTTTTTGGCAAAGTATGTTAAATCTACATCAAAAGTCTTGGTTTTGCTCTATCACAAGAATGAGTTGAAAATAATTACACTCAAAGAATGAACTGGAAGGTGGGAGTTTCTAGTAGTGCTGCAAGGGATTAATTTGCCACAACTTCATAAAAAGTACACTATCAGCCTGAAATCCAGTCATATTTTAAGAAACGATTTTTAACTACTCTCAAGCACTGAACCATTCCCTGGATTTACCTACCAATTACAACTGGTTTTATGCTGGCATGTTTTCCTCACTGCCAAGCAGAACAGCCATAAAGAGTGGCAGGGAAGGAAAAAGAATAAACAAAAACTTACATGCAAGTGTTTCTCTTTTTTCTTCCTACTCATAACAATCTTTGCTGTTGCTCAGTACTATTTTACCTCAAAACAGTCAGACGAGCAGTAACTGTTCAAATCAACTATTCCTTTTAGCTTGGATTTACCTGACAACAAGATCCTAACCATTCAGGTAGAAGCAATATCATCAGCACTCGGTAAAGAACAGAGAATACAGGAAGGTCAACATTAGTCCTTCCCTCCCACTCTTTGGAGTTCAACACAAAGCAAATTTTGCTACATTGGTAGCTGGGAGTTCGATAATGTACTACAGACCATGCTAACTCTTTGTACTAACAGAATTGCCACACATAGCAAAGATTAGTACCATCAGTTTTTTAAAAAGGAATGCCACCAGAAATTAGATCCAGATTTAACCACTTGGTTGGAACTGAGAAGTGAACAGCTCAGATCAGGAGCTGGGCAGCCTCTGTACATGTGCCCCTTCTGCTCCCTCAAATCCTGAGAGACCTTGCAGGTGTGGTACCTTGGCATAGGCTGGGAAGGCTCGAGAGATGCTGCAAGTTACACCACAAGTGTAAGTTAACTGAGTTACACAGAATGCCTGGCTGCTCATTTTTCATCAGGAATGTGTTGGTCAAGTGTTGCCCAACGTCTTAATGATTTTCTTGTAGGCAGTTCTGCTGACAGTAATGAGTCTTTGCACCGGGAGTACAGCATAAATCAGACATACCAGGATTTGGACCACTGATTTAAAACTGAAATGCTTATTAAAAATTGCTTTGACTTTAAATAGCTTTACAGTTTTAAATAAAATAATTATTTAAAAATAGTTTTAATTAAATGAACCTAGAAGTAGAAGATCTTTGATCTCCATTTCTGATATACTTTTGAATAAATACTTCTATATTTACCTCTTGATCTTTTTGGTGATGAAGTGCACAAAAACTTAAAAAGATTTTTTTTTTTAAAGCTGAAATCAATAGTTGTCTCTATTTAGGAATGAACTTAATATCTTGAAACACTTGATACAAAGTTACAGAAACTCAAAATATAACTACATAGTCATGATAAATACATATTTTAACTGAATGCATGCTTTAGTCCGTGAGTAAATTACCAAAAAAGAAAATAAAGATTCTCTTTAAAAGAAAAACTAAATAAATAGACAAACTCAAGCTTCAAACAATAAACTGAACCAGCCAGTAACACTTTAAAATATAAAAGTGTCTTTCCCTTTCTCCTTTAGATTAGTCCAGCATTATAATGCTCGGAGGATGACAAACAAAATATATAATAAACTATTGTTCTCTAGTTTCTTTCTGAAAGTAAAAGTGTTCATTAATTTGGGCATTTTAAATAGCTCCCTAAGGTATAGATAAACTAAGCCTCTGCAGTGAAAACAAAAAGATAAATCACACATGCAATTTATTCTAGAAAAAAAGGTGATTTTAACTTTCACTTAAAAACACCCGTGAAGTATAACAGTGCATTAGGAACAATGAAGCTCACTAGAGGGACAATTTGCTTGCAAATGCCAGAAAGCGTGATCATTTAATGTTATAATTCTGAGCAAAATCTTGAAGATTTCATTTCATAGTATTTTACATACAACAGTAGTAAGCAGAAAATCACAGAGTGGAGTGAAGTGGACCCCTCAAAAATGCTGCTTCCTGAGGTGTAAAGGAATAATTTCACACTAACACCTTTGGCAGGGCTAGGCCATTGTGCTCTGTGCAAGAACAGTTGCCACATGTTGACCAGTACAGGCCAAAGGCCTGTATATCTAATTCTCACCTTCACAGTTATGTCAGTGTTTTTCTCACATACCACACTAGGAGGGCTGAGCACCAAGCAGTAGAAATATCCATTTAAAAATTACTCTTTGTACTGATTTCAATGTGTTTGATAGAAAAAGAACAGATTGTGCAATACAGTCTCAGAACCGCAGGGCAAATAGCTGCAAATGTGCTCTATCTGCTGGCACTAATGCCCTGGAGTACTGCTGTGCTGTGAGTCTGCAGTGAGCCTCAGTCTCTTCTGTTGGATCAGTCCCACTTCACATAAGCATTCAGGCATTGAGAGAGGCTCCAGCCACACAGTTCAGTGCTCCTATGCACTCATCTGGGATGACTCAGACACAAGCCCTAATTGCAATGCACTTTCACAGACAAAGGCAAGGATCATTATTCCTCATTTATGGAGGAGAAACTGAGGCACAAAGTGATTTCTGCAAGTCAGTAACGTAGCTGGAAAGAAAATCCAGTTAGCCCAACACCTGCTACCAGGTGCTTTAAAACTGGCCAAAGCCACTTTACTATTTAACATGAATCATTTACTAAACACCTTACTTTTGTTTCTGTGTTTAGTGAGAACAATGATTTCTTTTTTAACCTTCCATTTCTCAAACAGCCCACACAATAGTGGAATTTCCAGGAAATTTAGTGAAATCTGCCAGCAGATTTATCCCACTCATGATATTCACTGTAAGCAATAAGACAGAGGGTCAGCTGTTAATCACTGCATGAGGGCTCCACGAACGTTGCTGCATTCTTCTCACTCCACTCAAACAAATACATGGCTTACCAGGAGAATTAAGATGGAGAAAACCAGTGAGACTTAAAAATGTTTCCATAAAACACAGACTTATTGCATGATAGCTGGAGGCAACACCTTTGCACAAACAGCTGTAAATTAAAGCTGTCCTTTTACTAAGCTTCCAGAGATTGCTTACACAATGTGTGGCAATGGGAGAGCATACAGAAGACAGTTTATTTTCTTCTTTATTCTTCACTTGCTCAAGCTGTCAAAACACTACTTGCCTACTCTCAAAAGGCTGAAGAGTAACTTTTTATTCTCCTATACCACACTGCTACAGCTTCAGATGTGACCATTTTGCCACCTGATTGCTAAACTAGAATTTCTTGATTTCTAAGTAAATGTATATCATCAAATACACATCATCTGCAGGTGGCAAGTGTTGGAGAACTTGAAATCACAAGTTTTTTCTACCCTCTCCAGTAACCGTTGACGAGCTCTCAATGTGCCGTGTCCACTCATTTCAACTATGAAAAGGCTATCCAGTGTTTGAGTTCTTCCATACGTTGCAATATGTAGGTATAATAGAAATCCATGTTGGTTGCAAAATCAGAACACACAGGGGATTCCATGTCACCAAAGGTGCAGTACAATGCAGTTCCTCCAATGCTAAGGAAAACAGTTGCTACGCACAGCAGGATCAGCAAAACACAGGAGCCACCAGCTACTTCATCTGTAAATACAAGAGCAGAAAAGGTGAAAAACGACAGTATTACAAAGCAGTGTGAATGCACGTGAGAAAATCTGAGATAGATTTTTACCATGAGTGGGTCAGGAGGTAAACACAATAATGCTCACTGTATCAAAGTGACCATAGCAGGAACAGTATTCTCCATCTAGTCTTTTCAGAGACCTAAATTATTATGTAGCTTCATTTCTGCAACGTGTACCTGTCCTTGCTAATACCATCTGGGGAGTCATTCCACACTGAAACAAAATATACCTAACTATGAGAATGTCAGAAAACAATGCCTTCCTTCATGGAAATAGTCGAAATGCAACCTAAGCTTTGAAACTAAAACCAATGGAAATTTTCTTGCTTCATTTGAACCTGCACTACCATTCTTGCTTTGTTTGTACTGACACTGACTGAGCTACCATGAACTGTTTGTGTTCATTCTCACATTTTGACTGTAAGCATCGAAACAAAACCTTGAGGGAGGCTAACGTGAAGCGTTATTTTACATCTCAGTTATTCTGTGGGAACTCTGCATATTGTTTTTATTTCAGAGTAAGAGCAATAAAGAGGTTGCAGAGGTGCTGCTACATCCTCACAACCTCATGTGTCCTTGGTAATTTGTATGCATGAACAACATCTACACTTTCTGTCAGATTGAAGAGGCTCTAAGAAAATTTCTGGACTCCCTTCACTCTACATTAGGGAGAAGAAACAAGGGAAAAGAAGAAAAGAAGAAGAAATGTTCAAGAATTTCTGGAATCAGATTTAAAATATTAATAATAAACAACTTGCCTTTTGAATCACTAAATCCCTGGGGAAAAAAAAAAATCAAAGATAAACTCTAATTGACATTTTATTTAAAACATAAATTGTTTTAAAATAATGTCAAGAAAAAATGTTCCTTTCTGGGCAGTGAATGGATTTTATTTTCAGTGTATGAGATACACTTAATACACTTTTAAGCACTAAGGATGTCCATTAATACCAATTAGTGGTTGGCACACACAGTAGATATAGAAAGTACTATCATCAGTAACAAAAAATATTTTTCTTAACACCTCTTTAGTTTGAATAAAAGAGATCTTAAATGTCAAGGAAAGCATAACAAAATAATGTATTTCTTCTGAGGCTACTTAGCCCATCAGAAGGGCAGTAATGTGTTTAGCCAAATTTAATGACAGCTAGCAAATTTATATATGGATGTTTAATTATAAATCAAGGTTAATATCTGACAACCTCCAAACCCACAGTGTACTAGAAAGGGCTGGAAAGTTACCTGTGGACAAAGCACAACAGACTTGTTTCTCTCCTTTACCTACAAGGATTAGATTTAGGCAGAAAGCCTACACCTCCCACCTCTAAGCTCTAAACATTAGATACCATTCACAAATCATTCAGCAGCAGAAAAAAACTGTGACTTCAGTTTCAACAAAGCTTTAAAATAGAAATGTACTTATTGTATCCTTCTGTAGTTGTTACCCAAACCTGGTACAGAATAATTTTTAATCACCTTCACTTATTACTTGATTGACTTTTAAAAAGTGAACAGACACCCTACTTTGCCCTACTCTTGTGAACAAATATTTCAACATCATTTGCACTCCAAGAGTGCAACCCATGAATCAACAGCTTTAAATTACCTTGATCCAGTGTGTCTTCTGTTTCTTGGAATCGCACTCTTCTCTTTGTTTGCCTTTGCTGGACTTGAGCAATTGTTTTTCCTTCCCTGTCATCTCTCTTCTTTAATATAGACACCAATCCCTCTGCTGGGGCAATCTATCAGGAAAGACAGTGGGTAGCACAAGAGATGTGAGAACCATGAGCTCTATTTAACTATGACTTTTAGGAGGAAATGAGCTAAACAATTAATAAATGGTTTGCACTCTACTTTTCTTAAACATGGCAGCACTTGAGAAATCTCCTTTTTGGATATAACAATTTCATAGCATGTAAATCAGCTGCAGAATCATTCTGCTGTCTACTGACTGCTTGCCCTTAATTGAAAAGTTAAATACACATACATTTCACTGTTTGGATCAAACTTTGTATTCACTGCAACAGTTCTTTTGTAAGCTCACTTCATTAAATCACATGGGTTGGGGCAGTGGTGAGGAGGGTTTGTGTCATAAACACAATCATCCAAGGGCAATAAGAAGCCAGTGACACAGCTGTGGCCTCTTCAAAGATATAATCCTGCAGAGACTATCAAATATTTATCGTGAAATTAATCTTCCAGCATTTCAATTGTTTTTTCAGGGTGAATCACAAGCTACAGTGGGGCCACAAAACCAAAAAGAGAACCCTGGTGAAGAAGAAAGCTTCAGTACTCTGGGTAGATTCCAGCTCTGTATCACAATAAGCTCTCTGGATACAGTGGCAGTTAAAAAATCCTTCCCTACAGGCTGATCACCCAAACAGCTTGCACAAACAGCAATGCAGTCCACAAGTCAACAAACCATAACTTCTCTTTCCTTTGCTACAGCATTTGGCTTAGCTGCAAGAGTATATAGTAAGCCATACTAGGATGTTACAGCAGCCTAAACAGCCTGTAATTTCCTAGTTATTAGAAAAGTCAAAGTAGGGGAAGTATCAGGAGAAAAATGCTTTCCTAAGCAAGTAGCTATTGGTGTTCTAGTAATAAACAGAAATGAAAATAGGAAGCATATTTAGACATGTCCTTTTTTATCCTGAGATCATCTTTACCTGAAAAAAGTCTCAGTCATCTTCATAAATCTGAGTACAACTTTTAAAAACTTATTCTGTAGACCAGCGATAATATTTGTGAAATTGAAAATCTGTATGCATTTGTGCTACAGATAAGAAAACATACCGACTCCTTAACTCCCTCCATAATCTAATCAAGTTAGAAGACCATGCATAAAAACTCATTTGCATTGCAATTACAAGAGCTGTAGAAAAACAAAACCCAAATTACTTCATGACTTATGCCCCTAAACTTGCTTCATGCTTATATAATACATCAATGCATGCTGTAATAGGGGAGATGGTGCATTGAACACAGTGAAACACAGAGCACAATCCAATAGGCACTGTATCAATTACTGTGTTTGGCATTTGCAACATTTTAACTGGTAAATGTGGCAATTGTATACGCAGGTCCCTAGTCCAGCAGTATTTTACAGCCCTCAACTGGACAAATAACGCTGCCCAACTCAGAGTAGACCACTGTGGGTGTAGGCTTAGAGTCTTAAAATTTTTCCCAAAATCACAACTGAGAAGATCAAATTGATCTCTGCCAAACATTTTCCCTTTTGATATTCACTTTCCCTCTTGATTACCCGCTCAGGAGCTTGAATGGATAATTTAATGAAACAATATACTTACAAAGTAGTGGAGGGTGGAGACAGCGGAAAGAAATTCTTAGGTGGAGACAGTGGAAAGTAATTCTTAAGTCAACATATGAAGGACCACTATTTGGCAAAAACGAACCAGAAATAATAGCCCACAAGTGTCATACCACAATAGACAAGTACACTGCAGTGAAGCTTCTACTGGTAATGTTACGTTAGCCTCACAGAATTTATCAGGCCAGCCAGAAAATGAACAGTTACGTTTCCTTGTTGTGATAAGGAACGGGGATCATGTAGGAGTGCATTAATTTGACTTATTTATTTGGAAGGATGGAGATGAAATTATGTCCTTTAAAAGAGTAGATTATTTTAAGCTTCTGTGTGTGGCACTGCTTTCATAAAGAGGATCAATGGTTCCTCTGGCACCACCCACGCAGCAGACTGGCTGTCACCTCACATGATGTTTGCAAGGGGATTGGACTGCACTTGGCGCGAATGTAACTGAGGGAGGGTGGGGTGTTTCTACCAGGCTGCCCTAAGATTAATATGTGGTGGTCTGTTCTGTGAGCAGTCATTTCAAACTGACATATTTAATTTTGTCTGTTGACCCTTGGTAGTTTTTGAATGACTGTCTCACAAGTTCTGTCTTCTCCAGGCTTAAAACCAGAGGACTATCCTTGACAGGATTATGTGGAAATGTGTGCCTCAGTGATTACAGTTATGTAAAAGCTTGCAAAGGAAAATCTTGCTACAATGAGGTTCACTTACTTTCTGTGTCAGCCTACATGGCTATGTTTCAGGATTTACTTCTAAATATATTAAGAACTAATTGACAGAGCACAAGTTTCTCTACTCTGAACACAATCTTTTGCTTAAAAAGGAGGAACAAGGGCTTTTAATTTTGCAATAAAATCAGTGTGGCTGGTGTTATTCTCCTGTCCCAACAAAAGCCCTTGACTGTATTTTAAGAATTTCCCCTTTAAATGACACATAACTCATACCTATAAGGTTTCGTCTGCCTTTGAATTTCACAAGTTACATAACTCGGGCTTATGTTTTGTTTTGCAAAGGACCTACAAAACTATGCCTCTTTATCAGGATACAGTTTATTGTTAAAATACAAACATATGTAATACTGCATAAAGCAATATTTACACCTTGTTTTTTACCATATTTCCTGCTACCTCTCAAAAATATTTATTGTAAAAATCACATTTTATTTTCCTTAATTTTCAGTCACAAAAATTACAGTAAGTTTCTCATATCGGGTCCATCTTGCTACAAGTAAAGTCTCAGCTACATTAAAACAATTGTATATGTATTTTTCTACCTTTAATTTAGAAAGATTTCAAAGCAATATACGAACTGATTGTATTTGATCCATCTCCCCTTAATCCAAGGAGAGGGAAGTAGCTGCCATGCAAGACTTGAAGTTCTCCATCCATTCTTTAGGAGGCAGGAGGAATTTAAAAAGGCAGAACATATTATGGAAATTGGAAGTTAATGAGGGAACTGTGGCAAATACAGTTAACCACAAGTCAAGCCTCTGCCTGACTTGAACCACACAAGCAAAAACATAGGCTAGGCTGCACAGCGAACAGCTCTGTGTTACACAAAGGAGCTTCATAAAGGACCCTATTGAAACATCAAACATTTTCCTAATTTTAAGTTAGATAATTAACAAAATATGCTCTTGGAGCATCTATGTAACTGAGCTTGCTCACTCAACTCTGGTGGCCTTCACAAAATCTTTTGACTGGAGCTTTTATAATTACTGTATAGGAACTGTACATGGCATATAGGTATGTAGTGGCATTTTGACCAACAGTCAAAATGTAAAGCAGCAATGACTTTTAATTGAAACTTTGCTAAATATTTTAGCTTTTCTCTTTTTACCACTATTAATACTAGGTGATTCTGCTGAAGTTTAATATCCTGGCTTCAGAATAAGAAAAAATAAGTTCTATTTACACTACCTGTCTCTTCTCAGTTTTAAAGAACATGCACAAATAAAATATTAAAACACCTTTTTACATTATGCATATTTTTTTCAAAAAGTGCTGTGTATATAAACACCTAAAAAAAATGACTATGAAAATAAGGTCCTGCACTTCAAGCTTTTAGAGAAAACAGACTAAAATTGACTACTGGAATAATTTGTAGTATACAGAACTAAATAAAATCCCCCAAACAAGAGACACTGCAAGAAAATTTCATTTTATGAAGTATTTTTGTCTGAATGCAGAGAACTACTCAAGGAGGAATTTTGTTTGTCTATTTTTCTGTGGGCTGTGTTCCTTGTTCAGTTACTTGGCAAAGGCCTACAGTTCTGTTTCTAGCAATACCAGATTTTTTTTAAAGCAGTAATGCTTAACTATGTCCAACTGACAAAAAGCAAGACTGCCCTGGTGTGAGCTGTAAGCAAACACCTTTGCTAATAAAATACATTTGCTATGTGAATAGTTTGACTTTGAAAAGGAGCTAACTTAGCAGATTCAGTATTTATACCACAGCATCAGACTCAAACCATTTTTCTACTAATACATTTCCTGTGTAGGTACCAGGGCTTCTTTATGCAGCAATAAATAGCTCAGATACCCTGTAAGCATTTCACATGGAAGCGTAAGTCCTGCGAGCTCGGAACTACAGAAGCCAAACTACGCAAAAAGACAGGGATGTCAGCAAGGCATTGTCTCCATATCCAGCAGATAGGCAGGCACTTAATTTCTGCAGCTCCTAGTTAGTACATACTCAGCATGACTTTAGAAGTCTTGGTGTACAAACAGAACCAACCAAAAGCTACTACTACCTTATGTTGTGGCAGAGAGTCCAACTATATTTGCTTTCAAATAGATTTCAAATTACAATTTTTGAAGAACAATGGATATCTGTTGCTGCCAACCGTTGACTGTGCTTCAAAGCTCTCTGTTCCCTGTATGAATCTAGTTTCTATAAAATGAGAGTGATTTCCATCATTTGCACGTTGCTGTGCATGGTTTGTACTAGTGAAGAAATGCCCAGTATAAGGAATTGTACAATATGTAAAGCACTGTTTTAGTTTTGCAATTATTTTAAGCCAGAGTTAGAATTTAGTGTATTTTCAGATTTGTAATTAGTTATTGTAAATGGTAGCCCACATAAAAGCTAAATCAGAGAACTACATGATTCTTTTTCTGTCATTATGAGTGAAATGAAACTTTCTAACTGTAAATTCTACACAAATGCTTTTCTCCATTTTCAGTAAATTAGTATTACACCTCTATTGAAAAATATTAATGAGTTTATCCTACCATATGAGTTTTGTACCTAGGTTATGAGAAATAACCTTTATTTCTGCCTTCCATTCTAACTTATTTGTGGCAATTTTGTAAATACTCTATGACAAGTTTTATCACAGTTGATGACTGATGTATTTTTTTTTTTACTATCACACTGTTACACTTCATGTAATTAATTTAATTCATGTGGCTACTGATGCACTATCTAGGTATTTCTTTCACAACTACTGTATGAAAACATTGTCACATAATTACATGGCCACAGCCTGAACAATGCAACTTCAAAGGCTTCAGGATCAGTCTGCTTGTCTAAACATCAGTAGTCTTATTTTAGCACAAAAACAAGATCAGCGAAAGCAAGTTAACAGTGCTGTTTTCTCAGGGGTGCCAAACTCTCTCAATTCCTGGTATTTTCAAGTGAAGATGCAGGTGCCCACCACTTCTGAGAAGCAAACCCTAGGGTAATGATAAGTGGTAAGATTAGCTGGAAAAAGAAAATAGAAGTGTATAATGAAACAATACAAGCTACTGTGCTGTCCTTAGCTCACCCTGCTGCACCTAGACTTTTCAGGTAGTGCAAAACAGCCCCAGATGCTGTATAATACAGATTTTAATCAGTATTGAGATTAATTCTTCTCTTCTCCTGGATTTAAACCTTCTGCCTCACATAAAACTCAGGCCTCTTGCTAAGAATGATTCAAAAAAAGCTCCCACCAGTGCTGGACAGCATTATGCCTTATTTGGCCAGAAAAAGTACTATGGAAAAACTCAAGGTGCTTTGACCTCTCCAGAGACTCAACACTGCCATCAGAGTACTGGCAGTCCTAGCATTGGGGTAGCAAACTAGGAATAAACCTAGATTCCCTGTAAAGCATCAGCATTGCTCACTGGCCCAATTAATACGAGTGTAATTTTTCAATCATTATCAATTTGCTGCTTTCTATCCCATCCTCTAAAATGCAAATGGCACAAACATAACAATTTAAAAATAGTTGGTAGAGGATTAATTTAGGAATTTTCTACATGAAACAGAACAGCTCTCTCATGTAGCATAAAATGCTGAACTTTCAGTGGGCTCAAAAAAACATGCAATCCTGAGGCTTGATATTTAAAATACTCTTGTTATACATGCATATGGGCTTAGCACTGTCAATAAAATGCTTTTTTTCAAAACCATCCTCCAAGTGAACACAAGCCAATGGATTTAGTGCAAAAGTTCGATTACATATATGAAAATGTATGTGGGTTTGCACATCTGCATGCTGTCGAGAGCTTGTGTACAGCTCTGTACACATGGCCCTCAGTCCTGGTATGTGGCATGCTTCCTGACACCCCACAGAAACAAGTAACAGGGTGTTATAGGGACAGGGTAGGATGAATGATCTTGGAAAGCAAAGAAGCTGTTTAGGTGGGCAGAAAAAACAAAATGCTCCATTTACAGCTCTGGAGATTTTTGCCAAACATGTAATAACATCAGCATGGGTTGCCAGTATTCAGTTCCCTTGGCTGCTGTCCCTGAGTGATTATGGGTTCTTGGTCTCTGCCATTAGCTTCTGAGCTTTAGAGAAGTACTGTTACTTTATTGCCAAGGGATGTTGCATTGTTAAATGCACTAAAAATAGAGATGAACTAAGAAGATACCTTTTTACAAGTCTTCCCCCTCCAGCATCTGGAATCACATCATTTCACAATAATCTCATTTTTTCATTTAAAGAATAAGCTTTTAAGGTCCTATGGTTGTAAATGCACCAAAACCAGAAGACAAATAAAGCAAAGATGTCCTCACGTAGCTTGCCAAAAAAGTCCAAAGCAATAAATCTTCTGTATTTTTGGAACAGCAAGTCAGCTTATGAAGCACATATCCTTGTTGCAGCCTATCAGCAGTGCTTCAGAGAGGTGGGTTGAGGCTTCGAAGCTCCTTCTGAGCTTTGGTTGAACAACAAAACTGCCTAAACTTGGCAAAATAAGTCCATACAATCATATACAGAATTTATTACATATGTAGTGCTCACCTATATGGAATAGAAAACCAAATTTTATTCTATGAATAAAAACAAACCACATTACAGCATAGGCATTATGTAGATCTTGGATATTAAATTGTGATTTAACAGGAATTGTTAACAGCCCATCTCCTAAAAGTCTCTGCCAGAATAAATAAGTGTTCAGACTCATACGTAAAAATCAATCTAATTTATAGAAACACAGAGTACTGCTGGTCTAGGAGGCAAGCAGGCAAAAAGAAACTTTTTTCTGAATTAACTCAGAACAATTAAATAAGTATAGACTTCCTTTCAGATTAAAAAAAGTGATATATGAAAGAGTATTTAACACATTTTGAAGTTGGGAATATCTAAAATATTTCAACTGAGATATAAACATGGTTGATTTTATAGGATTCACAGTATTTACCTCAGCAATCTCTATCCTTCTTGCAAGCTCATCAAGAGAAGAAAAGCTGTCATCTAGTGATAAATCTTCCAGAGAGTTGTAAGATGCTTGTTCAGGTGAAATATCTGAAACAGTGTCCAAGTCCTCTTGGTTTGTTAAGTTTGCAAATGATTCTTCGGTGTCTATTATGTTACCATTTAAAAATCTGAGAAATAAATCTTCTTGTTCTTCATTATTTATCTTCTGCTCCTGTCCTGCAGTTCTCTGTACTTCCTTGCATACTTGTGAATGGGCAGCACTCTCAGGCTCAGACACTTTATTGCACCCAGTGCACACACTTGATGCAGTTCTGTCCTGCAAAGTTTTTTCGTCATCATCAGGCTGTTCCTGTTGCTGCTCTAAATCACTATTTCCAAGCTGGCCACTGGCAATTTCTGATGAGCCAGGAGCATATTTTGACCTGAGCAGATTTCTATTCGTTTGCACATCTTTATCAGTAGGAACCAAATTAGTAGGCATATAATCAGCATCTGTTAAAACCAAAGCATCGACCATTGGCTGCGGAGGGAGTTTCACTCCAGGCTCCCCAGCTGTGCCTTCTAGTTGTTCTGCATCCTTAGAGAGCTGTCCTTCTCTCAGCTGCAAACTGTTATCTTTACTGGCATCCCCAGATGATAAACAGCCTAAAGAAGGCCTGCCCACTGTCCCTGTGGACTGGGTGTGTGGCTCCAACGTAGATTCAGCACTGCAGTGCTGCTCCTCCATGTGGTCCTTTCCTGCAGCTACCCAAAGGCTTGCTGCCTCTGTCTCTCTCTCAGTTTTGTTTTCCCCTGGAGAGCTAGTGCTCAGCTGTTTATCTTCTTTCTTTGGTCCAACGCCAGGACAAGTTTCAGTACCTATGTGCAACAGGAAAAACAGTTCCAGTGTTTTTAAATGATTCAAAGGATCAGCCCAGGGGGGAAAGAGTATACTGTGATTTGATAACATTGTAACCTAATGCTTTAAAATGCACTCCCATAAAGGGCAGGTATTTTATGCTCGAGTCAGAAGAAAGGTTTTGTTAGTAGTCTGAAAAGCTGACTCCTGATTCAATGAAGTATTTGGGCACATTCCTGCAGGCAAAGTACATACTTTAGTGCCCTACTGAAAAGAGTTACTCCCATACTTCAATTACAGTATGTATGTATCTTTCTGAACAGCCATGTTCCTCCTAAAGCATGTTTTCTGTGAGTTACCTCATGGAAGCCTGGAGTTCAGACAAATGCACTTTATTACAGAAAACTATTTAAGTGCTAGTGTATCTACCACACAGAGAGACAGCTGCATTTTCTTTAACAAAGCTGAAAACATACTAACTTAAAAGAATTGCAATTAAAAATTATTAAGTGGGTAACAATCTCCTTTGGCTAACACTAAATTAAATATCCAGTTACAATATTTTACATAAAAGACCACACCAGAAGTTGCTTTTTGGATAAATTAGTTTACATATAAAAAAATGCAACTGGATGCAGTTTATCTCTGTATACACATTTACAATACAAAAGAAGCCTGATTTTTCTTATCTGAAATTTCAGAGAGAAACAAGGGGAATTCTACATAGCTTGTGAGTTTACCTACTATTGGTGTGATCTGCTGATGAAGGAGTAGATGGTTAGCCCAAGTTCTCAATAAAGTTATTAGCCATTGTGAAAAGCTCAGAGCCAAATCTCCCTTTTTAGGCTTATGAAGAGACAAAGGGGGTGTTTAGAATTAGAATACCAAATAAAGCTAGCTAGGACAGAAACTGTCATTTATTTCATACTTTAATAAAAACTAAGTTAAGACTATGTTATAGTAGGACCACTGTTACAGTAAGAGCAATAACCTCAAACAACAAATTAATAACTCTAGAAAACCTGCATTTGCATTTTTTTGTTATAGTGAAAAGCAGAAAGGTCTTATGAATAGATGAATGAAAAGATCAAACAATGCCCTTATTAACTGTATATGTTCTCACAAGAATGACTGAATATCTCTATACCAACCTTATCCTTTCTCACTTGTTAAAATTTCATTTAAAATCTAAGCAATTTCCTGAAGTTGTTACATGAAACAGGGTCACATTTGATTGCCTTTTAAAAAAACATTTCTATTAATTCATCGTATTGAACCACTTTATTAAACTATCCCCATTTTAAAGGATAATGAAATATAAGGTAGCACAGAAAAGACCAGTTTGGAATCTGGAAAAGAGAATATTGAAATATATCAAAATGCAGGAAAAAAAACAGAACAACATTAACAGATAGAAGGGGTATGGGGAACCTAACTTCCGTGAAACATTCAAAGAAGAAATGGCAAGGAGACAAGGACTTTTTGAAAATAGACACAGATGAGTAGATAGCTCAAGGGATTTGTAACAGGATACTGAGCCCTTCACATACAGGTCACGAGTTCAAACACAGCTTAGATCATTGGTGCAAGATTTTGTTACCATCTGTCAATTTTTCCTAGTGGATACATCCACATCACAACAGGCACCTTTATTGGCAGCCCAAATAGCAACAAAGATTAAATGGAATAGGAAATTACATTCTTGACCATGAAAAGTGGCCATTGAGCTCTGGGTTCTATTCCTAAGAAAGTAATAAAATGATCCTGGCATTGTTAACTACAGATATAGAGGAACTGAGGTGCAATGATCATTGTAACATTCCACATCAAATTTTCAGCTGCTTTCAATATTTTCTTTATACCTATTTCAAAACACCTGCTTTAGACAACCCATGCACATTATAGACTCAAGGCAAATTAAGACAAATACTTGAATGCTTAATCAGAAAAGATGCTTTTTCCTACTTCTTATTGATAATTCCTAGATAAATTCTTATTTTGGGTATATGAGTTCACATTAAGGATTCTTCAAACCACTTGAGAATCCCCTTTTCCGTCTCAGACTTGTACTACTAGCAGCTGATTGAGTGAAGTAGTTCTCGCCACAGATTGACAGATATATTTCCAAGAAAAGAGGAAAAAGCTTATACACTTCTCATTTTTTATGATGTAGAGAAAAAACCCCATCCAAAAAGCAGAAAACAAGCATTCTAAATTTTCAGTGGGAAGGCCATTTGGGCTAATGCTGAACAGGAAAGTTGAAATATTAGGAACTATAGTTACTATAGTATAGGATTCTGCTGTGGTTCAGGCAAAATCAAGAGATAGCCCCAAATGACCATATTGCTTTTAGTCCCGAGCTGGATCCCTCAGCCACAGCTTAACTATTTTTTGCCAGCACTGGGCGATGTACACAAATTCAGAGTTTCAGACCCTCTTTCTCCCATTTCTGTGTCAGTTCATACCAATGCCTTCCCTACCCAAAACCTTCAAACTGCAACAAGAATGTTTAGCTCCTCTCTGCTGATGCATTGACTCAGTGAGAGGCAGCAGTAGCTAACTGACCACACACTACCTGAACAGACAAAACATTAATCTGGAAAATTCTCAGCAGAAATGCTAATTTACAAACATATCACAGGAAGCAAAAGATTTTGATGACATTTTGACAAGAATTACATTAAGAGAAAAGCATGAAAAAATTCCACAATTTATACCATTAATTCCACACTAAGTTTAATATGTCTAGATGTTGTACTACAGTATTTTAACATTAACACAAAATGCTCCTTAATTCAGAAGTTTCAAACGTGCAGAAATTCTGCTCTCCAAAAAGCTTTTGATCCCACTTGGCATAAAAACAATGGAAAAATTTTAAGTCCCTATTTTTTTTTTTTTCTATGGGAATTTCCAACCATCCAAAAATAAAAAGCATTGGGTTCTTTTGATCTGCTTCCTAAGCTGTAGAACATGTTTGTTTCATGTTTTCAGTGTTTTGGGTTTAGTTAGGTTACAAGAACAAAGACCAAGAAAAGACAACATAGGAGCTACAGTAAAAAAGGATGAAGATGAGGAGGATCCACACATGTAGAGAATTGTGGTTCTGTATCTTTGTTAAATCCTGATTCTCCTGAACATCCTGACTGATACACACTTTGTTCAATAGTTTAGGTTGAAAGGGACCTCCTGAGGTCACTTAGGCTGACCCTCATCTTGTAAGAAATTCTAGCTTTTTTTGAGGAAAGGTACTCAGTTTGGGCCAATTTTGGTAACCGGAACATGGCAGAAAAAAACTTTTTGCTCAAAGGAGAGGAGAGAAAAAGCACAACCTGGTAGCCTACCAGTGCTCTATTCCCCATCTCTATTTTAACAATTCAGTAATTTGCAAATGTTTCATAAGAACCCAATGATTCTAAAAAAAACACCCTAACCAGCCACTGCCCCAAAAGCTGGAGGAGGAAAATGAAACTGACATAAAAGTGTGTACTGAAAAAAATCAAATGAAGTATGTTTTTCTCTTTAATGCCCCCCCGCTTCCTAATTTTCTGTGCTGTTACAGAAAAACGTATCTCAAAATCAGAATATCACATGTAATTTAGAATACGCCACAAGTCAGAATATCTGTCATCAGATTGTTTACCCTGTATTTTATACATACAAATAGTGTATCTACTCTCTATGTAGCTCATGTAGGCTGCTGTACATGCATGCATATTTAAGAGACATGGTTGGACTTGATCTTTAAGGTCTTTTCCAACCAGCATGATTCTGTGATTCCTTTAATTACAATCCTGAATATTCTGAATGACAATTGAAATTGCATAGTACATCCACTGGGCAGTTGTGAAAAAAAACTAAAATTTGCACAAATGGATGAATCTGTGAAGATCCAGCAAATGAGTTAGCTTCAAATGAAACAGCTTCACAGTCATTAAAGTATAATAGTTAAAACATCTAGGTATACACACATATACATACCTGGTTTGAAAGCAGTAGCTTCTCTTCCCTTCAAATTTTCTGATTCCATTAACTGAAGCAAACAAACACGTTCCCATGTATTTTCTGCAGCTATTAGCTGTAAAATATGATAGTATTTCCTGTAATTTTTGGAATTAAACAGGAGCACTGTGACTTTTGAGACATCCAAAATTCCAACAGTTGCTATACTAACCTGGAAAGATTATTGCTAATTAGTATCTTTTTAATATTATTAGATCTCTTTGACAAAGCAGAATTCAATTAAATAGCTGCTTACCTTACTTTTGGGTGCTTGTGGCCTGTAGCAATAAAGAAGAAAATGATAAATTAAACAACTTGGTAGCAACATTCTTCATAACAAATGTCATGGAAATCTTTTAAGCCTTTTGCTCTGCTCTAATACTGGCCCAGAACTTTTTTTACATTGCAACAGTGAAGCATGCTAGCATACACAGATCTGAACCATATGTGAATATCATCGGAAGACCAATTATCCCAAACATTGCTCCACCTAATTGAGAAACCAGTAAAAAAAATAATTACTGCAACTTATCAAGCTATGTAATATCCTGTAAAACTTTACGCTCAGAGGGAACTTTACCAACTTTAAAAATCATGTAAGGACTCAGCCTGTACCAGTATTAAAAAATACAGATCACTCTGACAGAGACTGAGGAATAAAAAAAAAACCCACAAAACTTATTTCCCTCTCCACAGACCTGCTTGTACTGGGACATATTTTCTAGGAACTGTAAGATACAGCAGCTTCCACTGATTCCACTGGGATTCACAGGTGAGTCAGCACCACTAACAGTCTGAGTGGACCCTGCAAACTGTGTAAAAATTAATGCACAATGTGTTTTATCATGCACGATCTGGCTTGCAGCCTTTCATACAGCAATGAAGAATGTTGAGAATTCTGTTTAAAGCTACTGAAAAAAACCCAATAGAAGTAGGAGATGAGGGAAAAGTACTGATGTTCATATTCCAACAAAAACTTTTAAAGTTGCCTTGTCTTTTAAATTTTATTGTTTAAACTTCAAATATGGGACACTCAAAACTCTTCTTAAAGAACAAACATACCCAGTATGTAGCTGTAAACCTTGAATATAAGAAAAAATTACATTACTTTCAATTACAAAAGCAAATTGCTCACATTTTCCAATACTTGCATGTTATTAATTAAAAATTATAGTTTTATTTACAAAATAAATTGGGATTAAATTTTAGGGAAAACATATATGATACAAAAAAAGCAAACAGGCTCTAGCCTGAAGAATTTGGAAGAGTAATGATATTAAATACAGACAACTAATCATGGCAAATGAACACAAACTTTAAGTTTTATTAAATTGCAGGATTTCTCAGGACTAGGAACTGAAGGAAGAAACTAACTGAAATTTTGAATTTTAAAATGAGGCTGCACAGAAGAATTAGACTGATAAAGCAGTTACTCTCAACAAGGTGACAATTGAGGGGACAACAGGGAGGTGATGCCAGTTGCAGCATATAAATTGCAATAGTCTTAAGTCTTAATCTTTCTGTGGGCTTGTGAGGTCATGGAAGGAAATGTAGGCTGAGGAACCCTGCAGGCACTTGGAGTACAACCTCTTGGTAGCGGCAGGCTGCAGGTGTAAACATGCAGCTACGGTGCTACAGTTGCCTCCTCTTCCTGTGTAAATGCAGGCGTACATTTCAAGGGGCTCCCGCCCAAATGTGTTCAGGCTACAAATAAAGCAGCCCCTGCCTGGGTTCTGGCAGTCAGCACATGTGTTTTCAAAATTCTGTAATGGTCACCCAGAAGGAAAAATGCAGGACTGAAATCATACTCTCTATGAACAACTGGAACATTTTGGCCTTTGTTACATCCAGACTGACTAAGCAAATGTAAATGTACTTGAAATCTCCCCATCTGATTGAGAGCATCTCCCCTGTCACAGGCTGTTCTTTTCATAGCCTTTGAACATGGTTAGTTGCCTTATTACTGTTGGCTGATATTTTTTCAGTAGCAGCTGGTATAATATTTTTCCATCTGTCTGTTAAACTCAATGTCTAGTAGGTAGGCATTCACCTACGAATAACAGATCATCTTCTTCCCCATGGTTGCAATCCTGTACGTGATACTGCCCAGAAGAGCATCCTGGGCACTGACAAAAGCTTGTGATACTTTGATATACTGATTCAGGAGGCTGCTGATTCAGACAAAGCAGGTACAAACAGATTTCACAATTTTTCAGAATACTGCCACACTGAGGAACTACAGGATCACTGCTTAATAATGTTTATGCAACTTATACAAAATCAACAGAAGTTAACAAAAATGACTTGTAGCATTAGGGGAGTATCCTAAAATGTTGAGAATTTGGGAATAAAATCCTATAGGGTAGATGTGAGTGCTGGAGTCTGCTGGGCAATTGCATTTAAAAACAATGATTAAAAGAATAGGTATAGAAACAATCAGCATCATCACTTCTACAGTCTCTCTCTTGCTAAATGAACACCATTTGGTTTTTACTTTCCCTAAGAAGACTTAAAAATTAACTCAAAATTCCATTTTTAGCAAGCTAATAAATTGTAGTAACAGTTCAGACCTAGTTCATATAGATCCCTCAAACCACAGTGAAATACTGAAAAGTGACAATAAGGGAAACATTTCAGTTACTTAACAAAAAGAACCACCACTTTATAACCAAATTGACTGAAGTCAACGGGATGCACCTTATATTTTGAGACTGACTATTTTAAAACATCTATACTGGCGAGTAGATAATGACTGTGCTAACATATTAGTACTGGAAAAGTAATAATATTCTTATACTCACTGCTGATGTGAAGAGCAAACTCTCGTAAGCTTTTCCAACTCTTCACCACTTAGTTCCTTACTTGAATTCCTCAGTGTTGTAATTGAACTTGGAACTGCTGTTTTCCATTTTCTTTCTAAATTAAATCAAAGTAAGATTTACCTGAAGTATTATAAAAGTAGTGTTTGCTTAACATAAAACCTATACTTGAAACGAGAGAAATATTGACAACTCTTCTGCATAATCTCTCTAATTTTGTTTCAGACTATGCAAAAAAGCATTGTATTTCTTCACTACACGCTTTATTTTCACCACATCATATTCACCAACCCTAAAGCAAAAATAAGGTCAAAACACCTGCTGATCAAAGTCTCAATAGAATAAAAAATGACAAACTATTTGGACCTTTTTCATGAAATGGAAGAAGAAATCTAAAGCAGGAATACTTTTCTTGTAACAAGCTCAGAGAAATTCTGATGTAAATGCTGCTTTTGCAATGCAATATCTTTAAGCTGGCAAAAATGTATTCAATTATTTAGAAATACAAATCAACTCTTTCTTCTACCATATTACTGTAGCCTGTACTCACCCCACTGCTCCTGTATGGAAGAAAGATTTGCAAGCAGTTGCTCATGATATAGTCGTTCAAGTTGAATGAACTTCATCGCCTTCTCATCTGAATGGAAGGTTAAAGAAAAATGCACACATACATAGATGTGTTATCATTTATTAATATTTGTCACCATATTTGAAAGTGCAATCATTGTGTATTTGACATTTGACATAACTGAGCCAAAGTGAATAATGGCTAGCATCCAGATTTCTGCTCAAGGAAGAAAATATAGCAGACATTAAAAAAGCAAGTAAGCAGTTAAAGATGTTCATGAAAGTTCCAAAAATGAAAATCCCATTCTCTTCAGCAGGTAACTTGATGCCTTAAGTCTACTAAATTTTTTTGTAGAAAAGAAACAAGTGTTACTATGCTGAAAACTCTTATCAGCATATTCAATAAATGGAAATGAAAAGCAAACCAATTATACAAATACCAGCACGTATTTACCAAGAAATACAATTATATGCAAATAACCATAAGTAACAAAAAATATGGCTCCTTTCTACTGACCAACTCGAGACAGTATTCAAGAAATTTCCTCATCTCCAACTTTCCAAAAATACCCTCCTGCTTTTCAACCATTCTGCTTCCTTTTCTTCTATATGAACAACTCTTTCCTCTCCCTTGGGGTTATCAATATATTCACAAAGGTACACTGGTAATTATAGATTTTTGTAACAGACAGGATAATTCTAGTTTCATCAAGTTTGAGTTGTTAGTTGTTCTTTTAAAAGCCATATTATGCCAGCTATTTGAAAATTAATTATACAGTACAATAAGGATGGATATACAGTGAATGAAGTTCTTAGTAATACAGAAAAAATTTTCCATTATTAATGCTAATTAGAATATTGGAGAAATTATTACAAACACACAACCAGTACTTGTTATTCTTGTTAGCCTCATGCAACATATACATAGCTTGGCTTAAGAACAACAATATTAATGGAAAGAATATTCCCTGCCTTTAAGAAATTTACTTGAAACAGAATTACAGATCACAGAGACAGCCTTAGAGGATCACAGCAACAAACCCTGAATTATTGTTAATATGAAGTTCTACAATGGATGAATTAAAATGCCCGTCATGAATAATTAATACAGTGCAACATGATCAAGTTCTTTATTAACCTCAGGAAACTGATGGATGCAAGTACAGAGGAAATATCCTTCATAAATATGTATTATATAGCGGTGTTGAATTCCACACATCAGGTGTGCATTGCAGTAAAAGATTTCCTTTGATCAGCTTTAAATACAGTGCCCGTCGATTAAAGCAACTTCTATGAAACAGAAACTGTCTTTCTTTCATACTTTTGAATACATTTCAAATTGACTGCATTTCCCCCTGCAGAGCCATAATTCACTACAGAATTTTTCCATGGCTTTAATCTATGCTGAGTATTTTGGATTTTTTGATGGGTGCTTTTGAACTAGGATGACCAACACAGAAGTAAAGTCTTCTAAGACAGTGATGGATATTTTATTTTACATGTTGCTTTATTAATATTGCAACAGTTCTTTCTCTGGTTTTGTACTACAGGCTAATATAATTTGGCTAGGTCTCTTGTGCTTTGTTATTTAAGCATTACAATTGCCAATGTGCTGTTATTTTGTTTGTAACAAATTACATAATAAAGAAACAATCTGTATGCACAGATGCTGTAATTTATGACACATCTTAGTGAATCACATAGACCTTAAGGGCTTACCACTCTTGCCTCTTGTTTTATAGTCTGATCATTTTCCCTAAAAAGCAAACAGAGGAAAACTCAGCCTTACGTTTTCTAAAAATACAATTTCACCTTAAGGTTTAATATGATTATTCTGTCCCACAATTACTGAAAGATATCAGAGTAATTTGCAGCAGTTCAACTATTATAACTTTTTGATTAAACTTATTTGTATTATCAAGGAACAAATCAGTGTAAACTGGACCACCAAACTAGCTGTTCCCAGAAGCAATTACCCATATTTTCCTACAACAGTTTCTCAGACCACCTACCTGGATGTGATTTTTGACTGATTAGCATTTGCCAAATCACCGAATGACAGAATTGTCAGAGTTGGAAGGGACCTCTAGAGATCATCTAGTCCAACCCATCTGCGAAAGCAGGATCCCCCAGAGCACATCACTCAGGACTACATCCAGGAGGGTCCTGAATATCTCCAGAGAAGGGGACTCCACAACCTCTTTGGGCAGCATGTTCCAGTGCTTTGTCAACCTCACCATAAAGAAGTTTTTCCTCATATTTAAATGGAACTTCCTGTGTTCTAGCATGTGCCCATTGCCTCTTGTCCTGTCACTGGGAACTACTGAAAAGAGTCTGGCTAAGGTCTCCCCTCAGCCTTCTCCAGACTAAAGAGGCCCAGCTCTCTCAGCCTTTCCTTATAAGAGAGATTATTCCTTAGTCATCTTTGTTGCCCTCCACTGGACTGTCTCTAGTAGTTCCATGTCTCTCTTGAACTGGGGAGCCCAGAACTGGATGCAGTGTTCCACATGTGGCCTCGCCAGGACAGAGGAGATGGGGAGAATGACCTCTCTTGACCTACGGGCCACACTCTTCCTCATGCAACCCAGGATTCCACTGGTCTTCTTGGCAACAAGGGCTCCTTGCTGTCTCATGGATAATTTACTATCTTCCTGGACTCCCAAATTCTTCATCTCAGAACTGCTTTCCAGCAGGTCCACCCCTAACCTACATTGGTGCATGGGGTTGTTTCTCCCCATGTGATTCTGTGAAGAGGCTAATGAAGAAACTTCTCTTGCTGAAGGTAGCCTTACTGCTTCTGCTACTTCCAAAACGACTAGAGGAGGAAAAAGTTCATCAGGAGGTCAAGAAACTGGCCAGGTTGACACTGATCATAAGCTAAAAACAGCAGTTAGTCCCAGCAGAAGTGCAAGAAAACTAAAAAATACCAATTTACAGGTCACTGAAAATGTTGTCAAGGATCAAGAGGTGCAGCCTAGCGACCAACTCCTTTCACTTACGCCAACTAGAAGAGGCAGAAGTTTCAGAAATATCTGACCTTGATCTGTCTAAATCATTGCCTCTTCAAACAGAATTTAAACTTCCTGTCACTCCTAGAAGAAGTGCTAGGAAAGCAGCACAAAACCTCTTGGCAGACACAGGATCTCTGTCTACTCAGGAAGACACACATGCAGGTGAGAAAGTGGAAACCCTTGATACTCCTAGGAGAAGAGGAAGAGTTACACATACTAAATCAGAAACAACAGATGCTCATGAGCTAACACCTGCACAGCCAGAGGAGGAGCCAACTACACCCAGGACTGCAGTAAGGACAGGGTGTCGGGGCAGAAAGAGATGACCAGTATTGGAAGATGACACAGGGCAGGAGGCATTCCCACAAGGACCTGATGGCAGCACTTTGCTGCTTGAAGACATAAACCCACCAGGACATAACAAGTTGTTATTGTTTGCAGGTTGCTGATCTCCCATAGTAGTTTGCTTGGTATTTTTATTCTAGACTCTTGTAGTACATATTCTAATCAACTGTTGTAATAATTTTTTTCTTACTATAACAGTGCCCTATTTGATAAAACAGAATACATACCCTATCTGGATTGGACACATTCCCAGTTACTAATACTTAGAACAGAACTATAAAAACAGAAGTTCATAGAAAATATTTTTTTTACTTCCTTGTTTGTGCACAGCTACTAATGATTATATCAGTACCACTTTTGGAAGTGGTTTTATTACTTTACTCATTCTAGCTGTCTGATTAAGAAGGACTTGGTAACATATTGTATATTCACTCATGAATAAATTAAGGCTCTTCACTTGATTCTAACACTGACTCACAACCTGTCTTTTATGTTTTATAATGCCAGATTATTTTAATATTGTGTAACAATTTCTACAAGTAAAAGGATACATTCCTCCTCTTGAAAATAGGTCTCAGCTATCTGCAAAAGTAAAAAGAGAAAAATTAGGATTCTATAATTTTATAATATATGTATTAGGATTTAATTTTATCATTAGGGTTATATAATTTTCATTATAGTGGGAAGAATATAACTTGAACCTTTTTGTCATAGTCTTAAACATGTTTTGCAGGTTCGTATTTATTTTGGGTACGAATGTTCAGACTGAGTAGATGTATTCTTATTCTATAAAATACGCTTAAAAATAATATAAAACAGAAAAGAAATATTAAGTTCTATTCAGACAAATGGATTTACCCGAATGTTTGTTGGGTTTTATCTTGTTACAACAACAAGCAATTATTTTAGAAATTTTTTAAACACCATAGTAAAAAAATTAGCTAGAACAGAAGTACTGTGTTTACTGATTTGACTTGAAGAGTTTTGAGTTCTGTTACTGACATTGTGTCCTTATGTCTGACCAAATTAAGGTCATTGCTGAGCTCTCCCAAGCATTACAGTGCTAAGTGACAGAACAGAGAAACCGAGGTTTCCTACCTGATGAGAAAAGAGCAATCTATGGAAAAGACAAAAAATACTGCCTCTCACAATGACCTTCCTGTTTGTATCCTATTTACAGTAAATACTTACAATAAACATTTACAACAAGGATTTCAAATATGTAGAATTTGAAATATTTACAGTATGAATATTTGAAATTCACTGGACAAAAGGACTCCAGTTGTTAGGTTTTTTTTGAATGCTACCTTTAAAATTCCTTATTTTTTTTTCCCCAGATTAAAAAGTGTGTCATGATTGTTGTAAATTCTGCTAGCTTTCATTCAAACACAATTCAGAATGCTTGATATTTCCTAGGAAAAAAGAGATGGGTGTTTGATTACATGTCTGAATCTGGAAATGGAGATTCTGTTTTCAGTTCTGTCACAGTTCCAGTGTGACTTTCAAAAGGTTGTACCCTTAGGTAACAACCTAAGGCTTAGCCAACAACCTTGGATTCCTCATCTAAAAAGCAGCAATCAAATTTCACCTCCATCACATTCAACAACACTCATCAATGTTTGTAAAGAGTTTTGAAATTTTTGCCCTGTGTTGTTTTCCAAACCAGACCTTTGTACTGACTCATGAACAGCCACCAAATTTGGCGTGGCTTAAAGCAGAAATGGTTAACTCTCATGCTAAATTTCAAATAAATTAACAAACAATATCAAACATCTTCACTCAAATGCAGAGTAAAAAAAATAATTTAAAATTCTGTGTCAAGTGTAAAATATCTATAATTTCAAATACTAAAGAAGACCTCTTTGCTTATTTATATCAGAGAATAAAAATGCAGGAATGTCATCACCTTTCAGAAGTTTAACATATGACAATCATTCAATTTTGCACAATACAGATAATGGAACTAAATGAAACGCGACACTGTATAGTGTCTATATATAGCCTATATTAGACACTCCAGCCAAACAAAAAAATCTTCTAGTCCACTGGTAGTGTGACACAACTAAACTATAAACTATTACTGCATCAAGTCAAATCAACACATTCATCTTGTGTCATAGTCACCAGAAAGAAAAACACACCAGCCAGTTACTAAAAAAGATTGCATTTCAAATCACAGAGTATTTCCTTCGGTCTTTCATGTGTGGCAACTGTGCTGTAGAAAAAAATACACTAAGAAGCCTTGAATTGTAGCATTCATGCATGGAGTTAATGCTAGAAATCAGTCTGCAACAGTAAAAATAACTCCAGATTCAAAATATTATTTAGACACTAGCTGTCTTGTATCTGTATCACTCACAAACCATATTTAAAGTATGTTGAAGAGTGATTTTTTCCTAGATCTTCCTGCCAAAGTAGAATTTCATCATTTGAGGAATGAAAAACCAATAATCTTTAAGTGTTTCCTTTAATTGCACAATATACTTTCATGGCAATTTATAATTTAATGTATATTAGAAAACCTTAGAGGAGATTTGTCTTGACCATCTGTTACACAGCAGAACACTCTGTCTACATAGGCATATTGGCATATGTTGAATTAATGCATTTTTTCCTAATGAATAAATGTCTCAAATAAAACAAAATTGTGTGTAACACTCCAGAATTTAAAAGAATACCTGATGGAGACACAGGGGCAGTATCTTTGAATCCAACTGCTCAACCTCTTCACGGAGCAAAGAGAAAAGAGACTGCAACTTTTGGTTTTGTTCTTTTTGGTGAAAGTTTTCATTTGCTTCAACAGCACCTTCAGCATGCACAGATTCTGTGTCTGTAATAAGAGTGTTTTCCTCCTTGATTGCTGTGGTTCCTGCTGGAGGAACTCCTTTAAAAAGAACAAGTAACTAGGTTAGGATTCAAAAAATACATTGAGTTGCTTTTTTAGGAAATTCCAATACGGAAGCCATGAATAAAACCCTGGTATCTTAAATAACATCCCTGCAAGTAAATAAAATACTGGTCTTGCCAAAATTAGTTGTGATAGTATCAGCTCACCTGCTTGAAAAAAAACAGTAACATACACCAGGTATTTTTGTACACTTCTCACTGGGACCTGACTTTAACTTGGGGTAAAAAAAACCTCCACCTATTCTAAACTGTTCTAAGGAGTTATTAGGAAGAGACCAGGATGACCTAAAATAAAAAGTGTTGTGACTGGTGTTTCAATTTCAGCTAAAAAAACCAACCAACCAACAATATCCAATTGGACAATCTTCTATGTTAAGAGTGAATTGTAATACGGCAGAGACAGAAAGCAGGGTTGTTTGCAACACAATTTTGCTCAAAAAGGAGGTAGGTGAGGAGAGTGTGAATGAGGTTCCCAGTTTGTCTCTTCATTCCTGACCAAAGACCTTGTACAGGGAGATGTGCTGGGAAAGGTACCTGCTATTCAGATTATAACACAGTGGCTTCTCACAGTGACACCAGGATCTTAAATGTTAGAAAGAAGCAAATAATGACAGTGGAGAACAAATGTCGAGGTGGACTGTCCTGCTGACTGAAAAGGAAAATGCAGTTGTATAGTTTATTTGAGAGTTCAGGGAATAAGCTAGCTGTGGTGATTGATGTTGGTAACAATGATACAAGGAACTGTAAACTGAATTTAGCCTCCAGAGCTTCTTGCTGGGCAGAAACCTACATTCACCATGGTGCATTCCCTGGCAGTCCACAGATACCTGGCTCTAATTTGACAGAAGTGAAAAAAGACATGCAGGTGGAGGACTGGCAACCTCTATGAAGGATAATGTCAATCATAACAGTATAAAAACATTACAAGAAAAAATTTGTGGGTGAAAATCCCACATTTTGTTAGAAATGCAGTATTTTTAGTATGTTGCTGATAATGAATATGATTATTTTCAGAAAATGCTAAATAAGATTAGGGAAAAAGTACAGAACAGGCAGTAGTAGTGGGAGAAATCAACCATCTATATATAGACTTGGCCAGTTTCTCACAAATATCAGAGAATAAAAGCAATAAATGATGGCTTCCTATAATGCATATTCTTAGAGGTAATCAGAAAACTGCAGTTTATTCTATCAGTTAATGAACAATATTTTTTTCTTCATAAAACATCAAATTTGATACATTTACATAGGTCTGAACTTGTTTTTTTTTAATAAATCCTGTTATGTAGAGAGTTTGGCCACTGAAATGTGCACAGTAAACTTTTATAAACTTAAAGTTTGATGAACATGTTATTCTTCCCCAGCTACACCCATTTCTGAAAATCATGTTATTACTTAAAAGCAGCACAGGTGGGGGCACTGCTTCAAGTAACCATCACACTTTGTTTCTACAGCTTGAGCACTCTAGCATATATATTTCACACCCCCTTTCAGGTGTGTATTCATCGCACCTGAAAATGTACAGTGGTGATTCAGGTTTAAAATTCAGGGCTTAAGAAAGGCATTAGCTTGTCCACTGAAGGCTCCACCATTCTATTTTTGGTTATTTTAAACTCTTTATTAAGAAAACCATCCAGGTCAGGAGTACTAACAAGCTCTGTGGGTGGTTATTTTCACAGAGCTTAGAGCTAGGCAAAATGGGTGTAACTGAAAATTGCTTTTTCAATATTAATGCATGTCTTTGCTTTTCCAGTATTTATTTGGGCTTGCTGTGAGCCAACAGCAACAAGATACAAAGAGGATGTAAGACAAACCAGGAAATACTTTTAGAGATGAAATTAAGGCTGTCTTTAAAAATACAGCTTTCTGTTCAGCACATGTTCATGAATCCAGAAAAGAGGGTCCATATATTCTGGCAAAAAACTTTTCTCCCGGGGGAAAAAAAGAAATAAACAAAGTTTCTGCAAATTATACTTGATTAAGCGGTTAGTAATCACCTGTCATATCAAAACATGAAAGTTGACTGAAATGTTCGCAAGAGCAACTATAATGAAAAAAATCTTCATTTTAATTTTATTGTGGTAACTGTTGCTAACACAGTTTATAAACTGCGTATTATGCCTACATACATCGTTGAGCTGTCGCTCATTTGGACTCAAATTCTGCCCTCAAATAACCCCCAATTCTAAAACAAGGCCTTACAGCCATTTCGGTTAATTCTACCTAATTTTATTTTAAACACCAAGGCACAAACGCTGTCTTGCAACACTATAACCAAGAACTTTTCTGCAAGCAATAACATTTAGTAATGCTGTTTCATCATAAAGGTGCTATGGCCTAAGATCTCTATTTTTTCTGTTTTCCCCTTCCATATTTGTGAAAAGGGCATACAACACAGTTTTTTCCTTGAATCAATCTTACTCTCCAAAGCAGATAATTATTTCTTTTATTTACTAAAGACTGGCATTTTACATATATTTCTGGTATTTTAAGAAGCTGATTGTTTTTTCACTTTGCAAAGCACTGATATTATAGTCCACACATTTATACATTGTTCCATAATAGGATGGAATGAAAAAAAAAAAATACAGAAGATACCAACTCTCCAATGGCTAGAGCACTCACTAGGAACATGGCAGAGAACTGCTAGACTCACAAAGATTTTAATTGACATCCTCTTTGCCCAGCGGGGTGTGTCAGTGTTTCCTAAGACATTGGGAGATGTAAACTTTCTCCAAATTTGCAGCCCCATGTTTGCAAAACAATCCAATTTTGACAGACCTCGTGAATAAAAATGACAAACCCATTTTTCAAAGTCTCACCCTTTTTTGTTTTGTCAGTACTACAAAGTATATGAAATTAAGCTGCTTTTGCTACCTGCCTGAGAATGAGTCAGAGGTGCAAGTATTAGGCATTTGCTCTCTAATTAAAGTTATGGATGTTTTCCTTTTTTAATTTAATTTTTATTTTCACATGCAGTAGCATTAGCTTAAGTCACCAGCAACAGAAGTTTCTAGTACAGAAAACATATAGTAATGTCTTTTTTAAAACATTCTTTGGTACTCAATACCAGAAAGCTGCTTCAGGCTGTTTCACTCAAGAAATGTAAAACAAACAAATAAACAAAAAAACAAAACCAAGAAACCAAAACCAAAACACCAGTAAGTATTAAAAAACCTCCACAACACTTCATTTTAAACAGAATACATTTTAAGACAGGTATGTTGGTGGTAAAGGTGTAACTTTAACTGAGCAAGTTCAGAATCATCCGGCCTATATTCAGATATTTCATTTCTCACAACACTAAATCCATCCCAAGCACTCTTTCTTCCCCCACCTTTAAGCTGCTTCAAGAAATACGCTGAATACAGGAAGTGTATGTTGCAGAATTTAAAGATGACATTATTTCCAGAGAACACAGATAATTTGAAGTTTAAAAAAAAATACATCGCAGGAGATGACACTTTATGAATCACAATCTCTACTGCACTTAAGTTAGTGTGATTCATTACAAGGAATCCAAGTATAAATAATCACCAAAGTTTAAATTTGTCAATTAAAATGTACATCACTTGTTTCATCACCAGTGTCCTTCTTAGATATAATCATAGTCTATTCAAAACTATTACTAGTATACAAAAAGACCGTTGAGAGAAATTTGGGATCTGGAAGATCTTGTCAATTCACTCTAATCAGTCTATGGTGGCATCAAGACAGCTGTAAAGAGGTGATTCTGCAAACATTGCCTAGGTGAAATTTTAAAAGTTCTTATTCCAGGACACCAAAATAGACTCAAAAAATCAACTGCAAGTCAGGTCACAAATTCACTGTAAGCTATTACAGTCCATCAATTCCCACCTGGGGAAGTCCTGAATGGATAATTGCTCACAGCAAGGAGAACACACAAACAAATCATTGCCTCTGTGCCTTGTCCTTATACTCTTATCAAGCCATCCTCTGTTGACCACTGTTTGGAGAAGGGTATTGAACCAGGTGAACCTTCAACCACATACAGTAATTCTTAACTTTGAATTCCAGTCTACTGATTGTAGGAGCTCGGACAACTCTAGCTCCATTACATTCCAAGCATATAAATAAACTTAATAATAAAATACTTACAGCTGTTTATGATTTATAAGCAAATCTTTAGAAGGCTTCAAACACACTGCAAGTACTTGCTCTTTCTTCTAAAGAATAAAAATGACCCAAGTGGAAGATATAGTAGTACCTAGAAAGGTTGGACCAGGTGATCCTTTAGGTCCCTTCCAACCTGGCATTCTATGATTCTATGATACTTAAAGGTTTTCTGTATAATTTAAGGATAACTCATTCTCTCTATAATGACCGATTTCAGTTTCCTTTTTACTAGAAAACATTTTTTCTCTTCTAGATTTTGCATATATCTACAAGATATGGAATCTAAGGTTTCCTTCTTTTCTTTATTTTATAGTCTTTTAAGATCATTACAAGTTTTCAGAGTAGATAGTATAAGAATTGCTATTTAGCAGGAAAACTGCATTTTAAAATTCTCTCTTTAAAGTAGTCAAATTTTCTGCCTTCTCAGTCTTCAGATGAAAAAAAATACACGGAAAAAAGCAGGCATGATTCAGTTGTTCCAAGTTCAAAGATATCTATGAGATGAAACACACTGATTTTAATTAATATGCTTGCAGCACTATGACATGAGCTTTATGATTTAGAGCAACACCTGGATATAGTAACACATTGTATTGATGTAGATAAAATTCGACTCATTCAGAAAGGGAAGAAGCCTTTCAAATAACATACAATGAAAATTTACATGTTTCTTATCCTATTCATATGCAAAAGATCTGCAAAAATTAATACAAACATTTTAGAACAGCTCATTATCCAAAAAGCACATTGTAGGACTCTATTAAGCTTTGAAAAACTGAAGTACATTTTGACAACAGCAGACTAAGGTCAAGCTATTTAATATTCCTACCAAGATTTCAAATCTTGACATTGGATCAAGACAATAAAATATTGCACTGTTGAAGTGAACAAAATCATAGAATCATAAAATGTCTTGGGTTAGAAGGGAACTGCTAAAGGTCATCTAGTCCAACCCCCCTGCAATAAGCAGGGATATCTCACACTAAAACAGATTGCTCAGAGCCCCATCAAGCCTGACCTTGATTGTCTCCAGGGATGGGGCCCCCACCACCTCTCTAGGCAACCTGTTCCAGTGATCCACCACCCTCAGATTAAAGAACTTTTTCCTAAATGTCCAACCTAAATCTACCCTTCTCTAGCTTGAAAACATTACCACTTGTCCTATCATTACATGCCCTAGTGAATAGGTCTTTCCCAGACTTCTTATAGGCTCCTTTTAGGTATTGGAAGGTCACTATAAGGTCCCCCTGGAGTCTTCTCTTCAGGCTGAAGAACCCCACCTTCCCCAGCCTGTCTTCATAAGCGAGGTGCTCCAGCCCCCTGATAAATTTTTGTGGCCCTCCTCTGGACACATTCCAACAGGTCCACATCCTTCTTGTGTTGGGGGCTCCAGAGCTGGACACAGTACTCCAGGTGGGGTCTCACCAGGGCAGAATCACCTCTCTCAATCTGCTGGCCACAGTTCTGATGCAGCCCAGGATGTAGTTGGCCCTCTGGGCTGCAATTGCACATTGGTGGCTCATGTCCAGCTTTTGATCCACTAGTACCCCCAGGTCTTTTTCCACAGGGCTGCTCTCTAGCATATCTTCCCTCAGCCTGTATTTGTATCTATTTGCTCCAGCCCAGGTACAAGACTCTGCACATGGCCTTGCTGAACCTCATGAGGTTCACCTGGACCTACTTCTCCAGCTTGATCTCCTGGACCAGCTTGTCCAGGTTCCTCTGGAAGGCAAAAATAGGCAAATCATATTGCCCGAATTTCTGGCTATTGTGATGTCAAAGTCAGCCCAATTCCCATACTGAAATTCTGAACTTCCTTCTACTTGTGCTTTCTTGGTATGTTCCATTTGCTACATAGCCAACATTTAAATACAGAAGATGAAAACATCTAGATTTGAATCTGATTTAGGACTATTGACAGTTCTGAAAAAACCCAACCATTTAGTGAAAGTTTAGAAATAATTACTATGACAATTAAAATATATCTTTCTTACTAGTTCACAGATTAGAACTAGAGTGTTATTATTTTAAGTCAACAGAACAAAACCATTTATTTATCAAGTACCTTTGGATTTTTTACTTTTCCCAGACTTCTTATAGGCTCCTTTTAGGTATTGGAAGGTCACTATAAGGTCCCCCTGGAGTCTTCTCTTCAGGCTGAAGAACCCCACCTTCCCCAGCCTGTCTTCATAAGCGAGGTGCTCCAGCCCCCTGATAAATTTTTGTGGCCCTCCTCTGGACACATTCCAACAGGTCCACATCCTTCTTGTGTTGGGGGCTCCAGAGCTGGACACAGTACTCCAGGTGGGGTCTCACCAGGGCAGAATCACCTCTCTCAATCTGCTGGCCACAGTTCTGATGCAGCCCAGGATGTAGTTGGCCCTCTGGGCTGCAATTGCACATTGGTGGCTCATGTCCAGCTTTTGATCCACTAGTACCCCCAGGTCTTTTTCCACAGGGCTGCTCTCTAGCATATCTTCCCTCAGCCTGTATTTGTATCTATTTGCTCCAGCCCAGGTACAAGACTCTGCACATGGCCTTGCTGAACCTCATGAGGTTCACCTGGACCTACTTCTCCAGCTTGATCTCCTGGACCAGCTTGTCCAGGTTCCTCTGGAAGGCAAAAATAGGCAAATCATATTGCCCGAATTTCTGGCTATTGTGATGTCAAAGTCAGCCCAATTCCCATACTGAAATTCTGAACTTCCTTCTACTTGTGCTTTCTTGGTATGTTCCATTTGCTACATAGCCAACATTTAAATACAGAAGATGAAAACATCTAGATTTGAATCTGATTTAGGACTATTGACAGTTCTGAAAAAACCCAACCATTTAGTGAAAGTTTAGAAATAATTACTATGACAATTAAAATATATCTTTCTTACTAGTTCACAGATTAGAACTAGAGTGTTATTATTTTAAGTCAACAGAACAAAACCATTTATTTATCAAGTACCTTTGGATTTTTTACTGGAGCTTCTTTTGCTTCTTGGACTTCTTTTTCCACTTGGCTGTTTTTCTGTGATAGGATTTTCCTCCAGCTGGGGATCCATATGGACATTTACAGGTCTCCTCTCAGTCTCACTTCCCATACAGCTTGGGGTGCAGTCACCACTGTCCATATTCTCATTATTATTGATGCTGTCCTGCTCACCTCTATCCTGTCGCCCCATGGCAATGCTACTACCGGTCAGAACCTCATTCCCATCACTGTCAAGTTGATTTTCATTTTCGTCAGCTGAAGAAACCAAATGTGATGCCAAACTTTCCACTCTGTAGTCAGCAGGAATCAAGTACCTTTGGATTTTTTACTGGAGCTTCTTTTGCTTCTTGGACTTCTTTTTCCACTTGGCTGTTTTTCTGTGATAGGATTTTCCTCCAGCTGGGGATCCATATGGACATTTACAGGTCTCCTCTCAGTCTCACTTCCCATACAGCTTGGGGTGCAGTCACCACTGTCCATATTCTCATTATTATTGATGCTGTCCTGCTCACCTCTATCCTGTCGCCCCATGGCAATGCTACTACCGGTCAGAACCTCATTCCCATCACTGTCAAGTTGATTTTCATTTTCGTCAGCTGAAGAAACCAAATGTGATGCCAAACTTTCCACTCTATAGTTAGCAGGAAGACTGTCCTTTGAGTCTATTTGTAGATCATTTGGTGGAAATTCTCTTTCATCCATTAGAACGTTACTTGTTGAACCACTTAAGTCTCCCTTCAAATATTTTTAAACCTAAAATATAAAACCAGAAGAAGCATTTATAATATGCATTTTATAATGGATAAATAACCTTGTACTTAATGCCAGCCAATAGATAATCACATCAGCCAAATTATACAGTTTAAAAATATAGGGAAATATCTGCAAACAGTAATCCACTGCTCCACTCTAATTCTTAAAGCAAAGTTTAATTACATTAGAAAAAGAACAACACAAAAATCTCCCCATCTAAAAAATTCCCCTAACTAAGAACTTGTATTTTTATGCAATTATAATCAGTTGCAGTTACCTGACCAATAGCACAGCTGATCTTTACAGCAGTGCTTAGTGTTACAGTTGAGGAAAACAAAATGATAAACAGAAGCCACCCCCACCACCCTCCCTTTAAAACCATGGCTAAAACAAAAGCATTCTTGTCACATAAGATCAGGGTTTGCCTGACATAAAAATAAACCAGGGAGGAATAAAAGCAAAACACCTTTTAATTCTCTCAGTGATGGTATCCCATTGGATATTGAGATAGATAAACTGTAACAAAACTGTTAAGAACTCTGTTACAAAAATTAGACACAAGTAGAACCTGTTTATTGACTCAGATTGTCACTTTATTTTCAAGAAAACATTCAACATGTCTTCAGTATACACAGAAACAGATGGTTTGTTAATGAAAAAAACATAATCCCCCACCTACTCTCAGCAGGGGCCAGGTTTTCCCTTTTTGTGAACATGCAGCTCTAGTCAATGCTGCAATTAGATGCATATTCACAGGAAAAAAAGGGTAATTCTTAACAGCAGGGTTACATGGTACTACCACAGGGCTGTTACTATAGCAGTTCCTATCTTTAGTTTTTAAAAGCATGGCAATACTGCTGGTTTAACTTAGCAACTATACAGATGAAATACAGCTCCATTATGTACCTCGTTAGATTTAGCTCATATATTTAAAATAGTGAGGCCAAATACCAGCAAGCACTCTTGTATTACAGAAGAGCTTAGACAAGCCTCCTAAAGCAGCTTCCTATCCTTTCCATTAGATGACAAAGCATTTTAGCAAACCTGTCTTCACCAAAAGCTTTCTTTGGTCTTATGTCCTGATATATACAACTGAAAAACACACTTGCCAAATATCACAGAATATGCAAGATAATGTTTCAATTTATATGCTAGAAAAATTCACATTGCAGAAAAATGGAAAAAAATGCCTTAGAGAATAAGTAGGTTTTCCTTCATACATGGAAACATGCTTCTTTTAAAGATAGCTAAAAAGATTTTTCCAAAATTATTTCTTCACAACCTTTGTAGTTGCTAAAAGGACAGGAAAAAAAGAATATGTCGCTTCCATCTCAGAGGAGGACAAGAGGCAGGCCTGAGGGAGCTACAGACTGCTCAGCCTCACCTCAGTCCCTTGAAGCTGATATAGCAAGTAATCCTAGAAACTATTTTCAAACATATGAAGGAGTAGTCAGCACGAACTTGTGAGGGTAAATAGTGCTTAATCAACTTGATAGGCTTCTACAAAGAGGTGACTGCCTCAGTAGAAGAGAGAACAATGAATGCTGTTTACTTTGACTTCGGTAAGGCTTCTGATGCTTTCTCCAACAACATTCTCACAGACAAGCATTAAAAGTACAGGCTAGAAAACGTGAGAAGTTCCAGGGAAGCATGCAGACGTTGACAAGCCACCACCAAGTGGGCATCACAAATGTACCAACTAGGACAACTCCATCTCTGCTTCCAACCTGAAGAACTTTATATCCATGTCCAGCCATACCAGTCTAACAAAAAATACTATCATGTAACATACAAGCTGTGCCAGGGGAGGTTTAGACTGGACATTAGAAAGCATTTCTTTACCAAGAGACTTGTCAAACACTGGAACCAGCTTCCTAGAGAGGTGGTCAATAGCCCAAGCCTTTCAGTGTTTAAGAGTCATTTGGACAATGCCCTTAATGACATGTTTTAACTTCAGGTCAGTCCTGAATCGGTCAGGCAGTTGAACTAGGTGATCGTTGTATTGTACCAACTGAAATATTCTGTTCTATCCTAGAACGATAAATAATTGTACATGCTAGAGATGCAAGTCAGATTGTTCTTTGGCAATGAAGTAACTGGCTTTCCTTAAACACTAGAAAGACAAAGAAGGGAACTCAAGATATGTTTCTAGAGAATGAATCTATTAATTAGAAGGATGCTCCTTAATCAAGCTCTTTTCTCTCAAAGAGAATTAACCACAACATGAAAGGTTAAAAGGAGGACAGAATCTCAATCAGACCAGCAAGAATCAGAACTAGAAGATACTCTTTACAGATGCCCACACTGTAAATTATGTCGATTTATTGATATAACTGTCCTAAAGCATTACAAAAAATAATCCCAAATACCATGTGAAACTTGAAAGGTTCACTTCTTACTATTCCTAGCATATGAAATAATTACTGCTGCCTGCTCCACCTCATAGATTAAACAATACATCAAACAAAAGAGGTTGAAATAAATTACCCAAAGCCAATTAGGAATTAGTTCTAACAGCAATAATTAAAAATCAGGATGTCCAACCACCACTCTCTTGCTCCTATCAGTAGACAACACTTTATTCTTTCAACAGCTATCAAAGGGAAACAGAAATGTGAATGTATCCAAGCAAGGTGTTTCCTACTAGATTATGCAAAACAAGTAAAAGATGCTTTTGACAAGTGACATTTTCTATAGAGGAAGCTAACATTTTGATAAATAGTAACTAATTTCCTTAACATGTGGCTCTCTAGCCGAGAAGAGCTTCGGCAGCTATTACAAATCAACATTTCTTGATTTACTATTTGAAATTCAGTATCTCTCCAAATAAAAGTAGCCCTGAAAATCTATTCCTTTTACAACTCTTATGATTCCTTAGAGAATGAAAATCCAGAAAGAGCTGATTTAAAGAAGTTAGAACAGTCTTGCTTTTGATCTTTGAAAAGCTTATTTTTTTTTCCCCCACAGATGAAACATTTTCCTTCTTGGCTTTCCATGTTTCTATCAGCTACTACTTTTGACTTTACCAAGGCACCAGCCAGGTACTGAAGCGAAGCTAAATCTTTTAAGAATCAATTTTAGCTCTGTCTAAAAATGCAAGTAGAAACACATTTATAAACACAAAATTAATTAAAAGTACTAGTGATTTGAACTATATGTAACAGACCATTAACATGCAGTTACTGTAGTTACTGTTTTGCCATTGAAATTAATTGTATACACAAACACTATGCTAAGAAAAAAATTCTTGCTTCTTCCTAGGCACATCTTTCCTCCTTTCACTGGTTGCTCAAAATGGAAATTAGAGACAAGACTAAATAGAACTGTGCTGACCTCTATTAAAAGGTTTTCCATGTTTCTATCAGCTACTACTTTTGACTTTACCAAGGCACCAGCCAGGTACTGAAGCGAAGCTAAATCTTTTAAGAATCAATTTTAGCTCTGTCTAAAAATGCAAGTAGAAACACATTTATAAACACAAAATTAATTAAAAGTACTAGTGATTTGAACTATATGTAACAGACCATTAACATGCAGTTACTGTAGTTACTGTTTTGCCATTGAAATTAATTGTATACACAAACACTATGCTAAGAAAAAAATTCTTGCTTCTTCCTAGGCACATCTTTCCTCCTTTCACTGGTTGCTCAAAATGGAAATTAGAGACAAGACTAAATAGAACTGTGCTGACCTCTATTAAAAGGTGCCAGCGAATAAAAGTACTTCAGTTCCACTTGCCACACAGATTCATGCAACTGGCATATATAGTTGTGGTGATTATAGCACAAATCAAAACCAAGACAGAAAATACTTCCTCAGAGGTTAAAAGAAACTCTGTATTGAAGAAATTAATTGTATGTTTGTTTGCTATAGAACAAACAGTATTTACATTACAGAAACATCATGGTACTCACTTTTAGTTTAGGTCAATTTCAATTTTAAAAAGCTCATGCTCTTCAGTGTTCTTTTTCATACACTTCATATAGCTTCATAATTTCAATAACTTCTTTAGTTGCTCATTTTTGTGCATGTATGGTGCCTTTCTTTCATCTATCCTTACTAAGGAATCATAACCTTAAGTGCAGTTGTTTGGATTGTATTCTGAAAAAAAGTGAAGAACTGGGATCTTTCCTGACCTGGCACAGCCAAAATTTGAATAGGATATTAAGAAAAGCTCAGACTCAAACCATAAACAAAGAAATAGCCCCCCCAGACCCTCATACTAATGCAGCTCCTCTATCCTGGAGAGCTGGTGGCTTTCATGTATGTTTACTGAATATATGGCATCGTATTTAAATGTATTTATCTCAGAAGTCTTTTGCAGAACAGATCAGGATTCTAACACTCTATCTGGCAAAAGGCTAAAAAGGTTTGAACATTCAAAAAGTTTATGGCAAATTATCTTCTTATTCCATTTGACTACATTCAGAGAGCTCCTCTGCCCATGACACCATTTTCCCTCTCATTCTCGTGCCACTTAATTATTCTACGTTAATTACGGAGACTTAGGTATTCTACTTCTTTGAAAGTCAGTTTCCCTGTTCTATCACCTATATTGCTCTATTCAAATTGAATGGGCATTGCAGATTGATTAGAAGCAACACTGGGAACCAATCTTTTAATTAACTTTGATAATTAAACACAATAGCTGTATAAAAACCTGCAGTTAGAAGAAGTCGTAAGTATTTTTGAGGATTTAATCCAAAATTAGGTGTAGCAATAAGTGCTCCAAAAGCAATAACATGAAATTCACCAAGACAAACAGAACATACGGTATCTTTTAGAATAAATGAAGCATTTTCACATGAAATAGGGATTAACCAGCCATTGTGTTCAGGTGAAAAGCATCTCAAAGAGATACCAAACAGAAAACTGACTTCAAGTAGTTTTCTCCTGAGACATAATACAGCAAGTGTTACAGGCACAAGAGAATTCATTAAGTCCTACTA